CCCTGTCACCAACAAAGATGTTAAACAGCACGGGTTCCAGTACCAACACCTGAGGGACACAGGTCAACCTAACTAAGTCTGTATTTCTATAATTTATCTTATTGAAATATCTGCAAGTATTCTTCTTTTTATTAAAATAAACAGGACATCCAAAAACTCTCATAAGTTCACAACTTTACACTAAGCAGTGGCTGCAGTTAGGAGGATATATATTTCTCCTTCAGTATGCATTTTATTGCATGGAGAATGTTTCCTCTTTTTCTAATATATTCAGTTCTGTTGTCTACTGTATTTTTATCCATAGTGCAATCTGTTCGGTTGCTAGCATTTGACATTCAGCTACTAAAAAACAGTATAATTTTAAATACACATTTATGTTTTAGTTGCCGAGTCCCAGCTGTACCCCAGAAGACTTGCAACTGATCCCACCTATCATTTTGGTGTCCTAAACCCGTGGTTTTGAAAGCTATTCCAACTAACACTTGTGCGTAAGTTACAGTGGCTGCAAGAAGACTTCCTATTTTCTACCTATGAAGACTTTCACAACATTAAATCAGATTTAGATGATAAACTACATCAACTCCAACAGAAGCCAATGTGCTGTCTTTTGCATATATGTAGCCTGAAGATATTTTAGATCTATCTAGACAACAGGTTGTACATCTATTTACATCTACTTACAAATTAGTAAGTATGTCTCACCTCAGTGCCACATGTTTAATAACGCAAAACTGACCGAACCACAAGACTTAGTGATGTAGTGTTAGACACTGGGTTTAAATTCATGGAAGCAGGAACGCTGACACCACACATCAAACTTCCCATCATTTAACTGCGCGTTTTGGTATTGCATGAGCTTTTTAGGAGGGAGTAAGTGGGTTATATAACTCAGATGCAGGCTGAGTCAAGATGCTCTGTCAGGGTAAATTTTAGAAATAAAATGGAAGGACACAAAACAGCAAAATCCAGACTCTGACACATTTGACTGCTTGAGAGTGTATGTCAAACTTCTGTTACCGTATGTAGTAGAGTTTTGCACAATTCAATAAATGGAATAGTAGCTACTTTCTGTTACGTTTAGTTAAAATATACTATTTGTTGCAAAACAAATTTCAAGAATTGTCAAAGCACAGAAGTACAGGTACTATCTACCTGTCTCCACATATCACAGACAGGACTACTACAAGTGCCTCTTATAAAGGCTTTCCAACGCCTCCCATTACAAGACTGTTTCACTGTACTTGCAGCTACCCAGTTTGAACTGAATTTCCTACGTCAAGCGTCATTTGTACCTCACGTATTGCTGTGTGGAGACGCTAATCCAGAACAGCTCAGTCTCTCCATGGATAAGACTAAGAAAAAGCATAGACTTCAGTGTAATACAGTTACCTAAAGAAAAAGTTACGGTTGGAAAGGTTAAATTTAAATATTTGGCCAAGAAAAATTAAAAATGAAGTAATTACAATTGTAGAGTAAAGCTGTCAGGACAGGAAACACCAAAATTAAAGGAAATACCCACCAAAAAGTGCTGTTGCACATGAGAGACTCACAACAAGGATGGTAGGTAACACCAAGGTCGCTTTGGAAACATAGTTTCAAATCTCCCACTGAAAAACACTAAGACACAGGCTTCTAAGAAACTTATGGAAACGAAACTGGAGATACTCTCCACCAAATAAGTCCCTAGCAATTTCAGGCTAGTCAACCATTTAGTACTAAATTTACGATGACAAGAGTCAAAGTAGAAATAAAGCAATCACCCATGTCCAGAAAACAAAAATAAAACCCACACAAGTTTTTATTTGTTTTATTTTACTTGGAAGTAAAACAAAATGCGACATTTCCATCTAGAAGCCACTGACATACGCTGTGGTAAATTCAAACACGGAGCGGTGGTTTTAGCTTTCAGATTCCTCCCAAATTCAGCTTCTTCCTCTTGCACTGGAGCTTTCTGCAAGCCCTGATGTGCCTGAGGACACATCTGTTTAAGGCAGCCGCTGGAGTTCAAGCTTATCAGCAGATGGTGCTTCAAAGACGTCATCTTCCACACTTTCTTCTATTGGCTTCATTTTTGCCGAAGTTCTCAGGTAGGGAGACGTCCGGCCCGCGCCTGCCACAGTTACAGAGAAATCACCAATTAATTTAACAACACATACCTGCTACGTACACCTATGTGTGACAAGATGTACACAATCTGACGATCCTGTCCTAGTTCTCTTGTGGTAAGTGAAGGTTTCTTTGTTACTCGGTCACAGGCATCAGGAAATTCTACACACAGGACAGCCACGCTGCTGCGAACCAGCAACGCCTCTGGGGTTCAAACCCCGCGGCTGGCCACAGGCACAGTATTCTCCCCAAATTCAGTGCGTATCCTGACAGCATGAGGTGCCCAACACCGTGTCCCTGGCAATCATTTTCTTATCATTACACTCACCCACCAGCTCCTCTCCACAGACGACGATGTGAACGGCTGCCCCAAGCACAAAAGGAACGTACACTTGCACACTTGCCTTGGCTATGAAAAAATTGCTCGGTGTACGGGGCAAACCTCAGGTGAGTACCTGATCGCAGCCCTAACAGCCTCAAAAACATGATCATGTAAAACTTACGGGAAATGTAATACCCCCATAAACAACCACAGAGAAAACAAGATCAGCAGCGAAGGCCAGTGAACTTTGGACTGACAGTGACTTCATTGCTCCAAGACAATCTTTCAGAAAAGCAGCAACTCGCAGAGCTTGCCAGAGCAGAGCACACACCACAGCTATTGCTGATGAGACATTAAATGGAGTTTTTGTGCAAGTTACTGCTGCAAACTACCTCTATTGTAGTTAAATTTTCAGCATGAGGGTTAAACCACAGAACTCCTTTGCCATCAGCCAAACAGGTTTATTTCCCATTGTTCACTCTGAAATTGCATCTGCACTTGGACATTTTTTTCTCTCAGTCCCCTCTTCTAGAGATAAACCGCCACAATGGTACAAGGTTGTAAACAGCTAAAGATGTCCAAAAAGATTAGGGAAATCTTTGAAATACCATCTGAGAAGAAAAGAGCAAGAGGCCATGGTCCTGTCTGACAAATGGTCTGTACACAAGCTAAAAATTCAAATTTTCTTTAAAAAAAAATACTGATAGCCACAAGACTTTTATTGCAGGGCTGTTCTTATTACTTTAAAAAAAGTTTATCAGATGTAAAGTGCTCTGCTAAGGAAGCCTATTGACAAAGAAGGACTCTGTTGCACTGCACGTGTTACACAGAGAACAAAATACAGCTACAGGCAAGACCAGTTATTGTATTACTGTATTTTAAAGTCACATTCACACAAACACTGTTTAGAATTAGCTTTTTAGAACTTTTAATGTTAAAAATGTATTAGTATTTTCTTTTGACATTGAAAAACTACTTTAACTGCCATGATAAAGGGTTACTCGAACACTTTTTAAAATATTGTTAAGCCCTTTTCACACAGATGCGTTTTTATGGCCTAAGCAAGTGATGGTCAGATAATCTAAATAGATCATAAATCCAAGATTTGTGGGTACACTTGGACATAAATTTGACTTTTCTGGGAGACACCAAGTAATTACACTCAAAGGTGAAAGGATGCCTGAAAATGATGAATTACAGTTTCGGCTTTTTTTCTTTTTTAGGTTTTAGTATTGGTACAGTTTATTGCCATTTTTAGAATGGTTTTCTTCTGTTTAAAATTGCTTAGTTCTCTCCAGAAATCATAAGTAAGAAGCCATAAGTCTGTTTAACACAATCCAATAAAGGTTTAACACTGTCAAGCTGTTTGGTTCAGAGACATGCCCTTATTTTCTCCAAAAACCTTGTCTACTGACGCCTCTATCCAGGGTTGGACAGACGTTCAAGAGACTGAGTCAAACTTTGAACCCAGGGTTCCATATGCTACTCTGTTGCCCTCTCTCAAGGACCTAAGCCCAAATACCTATTAAAATGGCATTTACCATGAAACCAAATCCTGCTTTTAACCATAAGCTGGGTATAACACAGGGAGCACACAAAATGAGGTAATACCAATAAAAGTATTACCAAAACAAAACCTTTCTGCACTCCTGCTTGGCTTAGAAGTTTGCAAATACAGATTCATAGACCAGCAAATTTGAATAACGTAAACCAAGTAGCATAGAAAAAGAGACTGTGTCGCTAATAAGTGCATGAATGACTATGAAGCAACAGAATTATTGAATAGAAACTAATACTGAAACGTTTTTTAAAGGTCTGAAAGTCAGGTGAAGCTACCCTTGCGATCAGGTTGAACTATTTCAGTGTAGCTCAAATTTTGGAAAAAAGGATACACCAATTTCATTTACTAATAATTTACACACAGACAGATAATGGATGTCAAGCACAAGTATCACGTGATGAACAAATCCCACTTTAATACCTTTTTGAGGATGCCTGCTGAGTTAATGTGATGTTATCAACAGAAAACATCATGCTGCAAACGACTCACTCCGTAAGCATTATAGAACTCTTGTTGGTTATTTCCTTAATATAAAAGCAAACAGTTAGTTGAGTTTCTTAGTTAATTAAATCCAAAACACAGTTTTGTCAGTAATCATATTTTGCGACCTACTAATTAGTATTTTTCACCCTTTCACTACTAAACACGTTGAAAAAAGCTTATTTAAATTTCTTGAGAAAATGAGTCAAAGCTTATTGCTCGTAGCACAGATAAAAGCATAATTTAAAAAGTTTGCATGACACAAAAATATAAATGTCCAATTTTTCAAGAATATGGAAATTAGGAGAATAAAACTTATATGTACCATAGTAGTCAAATATCATATTTGTAACAGGAAGCTTTTGTTCACACAACAATCAATCACCTAGCAATGATTCCTATTCCTGTAGAGCTCCTGTACAAATAAGTTTCTCTTATTAATTTCTTCTAATTAAAAAAAAAAAGTTTGTCGTTTCCATATGTTCCTCACTTTTAGATTTTGTTTGTTTGTTTTTAAATAAACAAATGTATGATTGAAGAAGGAAGATCCAAGGGAACAACACTGGGACAGCAAGCCTCAGCAACGTATTTCATGCTGAATCCTAAAAAACAGTCAAAAAAAAAAAAAAAGACTGACTGCTGCACTGAGAGCACCCAGGAGAAGATTTTTGAAAACACAGCAGTGGTAAGGTAAATAGCAGCTTTTTTGTTCAGTTTTCCCCTGTGATCTGAGAAAAAGTGCATACATGGCCACAATCCACATTGAATACAAATCTTTAAGCAGAGCTCACCTTGGTAGCAAACCATCATTGGCAATGACAGTACCCAGGAAGAACTAACAAGATATCTTGGCAAAAAGAAAGATTGAAGCATTACAGTTTAGTGAGATAAATAATGTTTCATCAAGAATTTTTATCAAGCTTTTACAGAATCAGAAATTTCGCATTAATCAAAATGCAAAGAAGAAATAAATGACAGCATTTCCTGAGGTGTATGATACACTGCTGTACGGGTAACCCCTCTGTCTCCTCAAAAGTAAAGGAAGGATTAGACTCAGGAGCCTGCTGCCACAGCGGGGTGCTGGCAGTGATGGTATCAACTACACCAACCACTGCTGGACCGAGCAATTTCAGAACATTAAAGACAGTTAAACCCCTCTTTTGGGAAAGTACACTCCATACACCAGAAAATATGGTACACAAATGAAGGAAAAGTACAACAGAGAACAGTGTATTTATCAAGTATGTGCTAAGCATGGATGCATCTTAGGGATTAATGTAGTTACAGCTGAACACGTCATGCATTTAGCTTACTTTCTCCCAAAGCTGAAATACTGTTGTAAGTGTTTTGCTGCTAAGCCTGAAAGAGAATTTTAATTCTAGCTAATTGCACAAACACAGTTTTACAATTTCTTTCAGGCTCCTGGGTGTGCAAATTTGTCCAAGGGCTCTCTACGCAAAGGAGTAGCTCCAATTGCCGTGGAACAGGTGAAGAGCCAGTCGAGAGCTTACGGGTAAAGACCAGAGAACAGACCAACACCGGACACTTTGTGGCAGGTATCTGCTACAGGCTGCCTGATCAAGAAGAGCAAGTAGACAGAAGCCTTCTTTAGACAACTGGATGAAGCCTCATGATCGTAGGCCTTGGTACTCGTGGGGAACTTTAACCACTCCACTGTCTGGTAGAAAGGCAACAGGGCTGGGAGCAAGCAGTCCGGGAGACTTCTGGAGAGCGTAGCAGACCATTTCTTCACACAAGTGATCGATGAACCAATTAGGGAAGGTGCTCTGCTGGACCTGTCACTGATGAACAAGGAAGAACTCATCAGGGAGCTGAAGGCTGATGGTAACCTTGGCTGCAGTGTCCAGGAGCTGGCGGTGTTTAAGATACTGAGAAGCGTACAAGGCAAATAGAGTTACAACCCTGGACCTCAGGACAGGGAACTGTCTACTCTTGGCAGGAACCCATGGGAGATGGCCTGCAAGGGCAAAGGGACCCAAGGACAGATGGTTGATCTTCAAGGACACCTTCTTCAAAACACACTGACAGTCTGTTCCAGTGCACAGAAAGTTGAGCAAGCGTGGTAGAAGGCTGGCATAGATGAAGGCTGGTGTAGCTGGTGTAGATGAACAGGAAAGTCCTGACAGAGATCAAACACACACACATGAAGTGAAAGCAGGGATGAGCTGCTGCTTGGGGGTCAATACAGAAATATGGCCCAAGCATGCAGGGATGGAATTAGAAAAGCCAAAGCTCAGCTGGACCTGGATCTAGTGAAGAGCAATAAAAACGGCTTCTACAAATACATCAGCAACAAAAGGAAGACCAGGGAAACTGTAAGGCCATGGCTCAGTGAGGCGTGGGACCTAGGGACAGGGAAAAGGCTGACATACTCAATACCTTTTTTGCTTCAGTTTTTACTTCATGGGTTTGTCCTGAGGCCTCTCAGGTCTCCGAGTCTAGTGGGAGAGACTGGGAGAGCGACACTTGACTTGCAGGAAAGTTGGACTGAGTTCGGGATCACTTAAGTCAATGGGGCAAATACAAGACTGTGGAATCACATGGGCTGCATCCAAGGGTGCTGAGGGTTGGCTGATGCAATTGCAGGACCCCTCTCTATCATCTTGGAAAGGTAATGGCAGTCAGGGGAAAGGAAAAAAGGCCAATGTCACAGCCATTTTCAAGAAGGGCAAGGAGGAGCACCCAGGGACCTATTGGCCTGTCAGCCTGCCCTCAGTCCCCAGGAAGATTATGGAGCCTGTCTTCCTCAAAGCCATGGTCCAAGCACATGAAGGATGGGAAGGTGACTGGGAACAGCCAGTGTGGATGTACCATGGGCAGATTGTGCCTGACCAGTGTGACCGCCTTCTGCGGTGAGATTACGGGCTCTGTGGATGAATGGAGTACACTGGATGTTGTTTCCTGGGCTGTAGCATGGCTCTCCACAGCCTGCCATAGAATCCTTCCAGTCAAATGGGTGAGAAATGGACTGGATACAGGGACTGCAGCTTGGGTGAAAAATCTGCTGGACTGCTGAGTTCACAGGGTGGTGAACAGCAGTACAAAACCCAGCTGGCAGTTGGTTACCAGCAGTGTCCCCTGAGGGTCAATACCAAGGCCTATAATGTTCAATATATGAATGACTTAGATGACGGGATGGAGTGCGCTCCTGTCAAGTTCACAGCCAACAGCCAAGTAGTGAGGGAAACTGTTGATAGAGGGTAGTGCGGCTTGTCTGAATGGGCCTTCAGAGGCAGGAGAAAAGAACTGACAGAAAGCACATGAAGTTCAAACAAAGGAAAATTCCTGCACCTGGAACACAACAAACCTACATAGCAGTACAGCCTGGGCATCCACTGGTTGGAAAACAGCTTTGCAGAAACAGACCTGGGGGTCCTGGTGGACACAAAATGGAGTATGAGTCAGCAGAGTGCCCCTGCAGTGAGGAAGGCCATCCATATACTGGGCCACATCAGCAGCATATGTTGGGCCATATTAGCAAGAGCATAAGCCAGCAGGTCAATGAAAGAGATTAATGCCCTCTACTTGGCACTTGTGAGACAGCATCTGGAGTGCTGTGTCCAGTTTTGTGCTTCCCCGTACAAGAAAGACATGGACATACTCGAGCAAGTGCAGTGGAGAGCAACCAAGATGGTCAGAGGCTGGAGCACATGATGTATGCAGAGAGGCTGCAAGAGCTAGGTGTGTTCAGCCTTAGGAACAGAAGGCTCTCAGGGGATCTTACTGTTGTCTTTGTCTACCTAATGGAAGGGTATTAAGAAGACAGAGCCAGACTCTTCTTGGAGGCATGCACTAAAGAATAAAGGACAACAGTTATGGTTGAAATAAGGGAAATCTTTTCACCATGAGGGTGGTAAGGCCCTGGAACAGGTTGCCCAGAGAGGCTGTGAAAACTTCCACCTTGGAAATATTCAAAGCTTGACTGGACATGGCCCTGAGCAACCTGCTCTAGCTGACCCTGCTTTGAACACGGTGTTGGACTAGGCGATCTCCAGAGGTTCCTTCCAACCTCAACTGTTCTGTGATTCTAAATGTCCTTTCAGGAAACAGAGGAGAAAAAGAAAACAAGACTGGCATTTTCATCAAACTATATCCCAGGTGTCACCCTCAACGTTCTAGTAGGGTGAAACACTAGCAGGGCTTTTGCTTCCATCTGTCCAGGTAGGCAGACTATACAAATGTTAAGGAGTGAAAACAGATAGGCCCTCCAAGTCTGAAGGGGTTCCTGGATAAGAACTGTGAGGAACACAATGGAAAACAGAATTAAACAGGAAAGTGCAAATACTTTAAAACACTTTCTCTTCTTAGCAGAGAGTTTAATCATAACAGATAACTAGCGGTCATTTTTTTCCTCATTCATTTGAATTGTAATTACTAACGGCTAATATTTCCCAAATAAAAATAAATAATCCCATATAATACTTTTAAATTCTGTTAAACTAACAGCTGATGCCAAATGAGAAAATTGAGCATATTCTGGATTTTTTTTTGTTCAAAAGTTGCTTTCAGAGTTCAGGCTACTGTTGAAGTTTAGATTCAGGGGAATTGAAAATAAACAATACCAAAAGCCTAGAAAGAATCATTTAGAAAGTTTCTATGAAGGAATAAATTCCAAGACTAGAAGCAAAAAGGTTAGACATGTTTTCTTCAATCACTTTAACTGTTCTCTACTACTCCTGTCATACAAAGCACAGGAGAGGACAGCCTGAGAGGATATTTGGACATTTTCCAGATGGCATCAAAATATGTGTTGTACACCACATTTCTCCATGCCCTGCCAATAGAAACTATCTCAGGAGGAAACACAGAACACTAAGTTGCTGAGGGGAAATGTTTTGTTTGGGTTTTTAATTTCTACAAGCATCAGTCACAGACCAAAGGAGATACTGTGACAGGCACTGTACATTCCCAGTTTTGCCTCATTGCTACCAACATTCCATACTATGCCTACACAATCACATTATGCCAAAAATTCTTACAATACACGCTATTTTGCCAGTATCTACATGAGGTAGCTTCAGTTAGCATACAAAGCCTTTTGCATCTTATGAACTCCCTACAGCTAGGTCCCTCTACTTAATTGATGTACAGCAGCATCCAAAAAGCTACAGTCTGATCCCACTGAAGACAACAGGAGTTCTACAATCATCTCTGATGATCAACCAAGCTGTGTTCAAAACTGGCATGATCTACTTTGAGCACTCACGAAGAGAGGATGCAGAGGAAGTCCCACGAAGAAACATCTGCAAGCCATCTTCACTGTCACTGGTACTGGCCATACTGTTTCTCATCTGCATCACAGAGAGCTGTGAGCAAAGACTAGGCTGTCGATCAATCTTTTTTGAAGCCTAAAAAAATTAAATAATTATTTTTTTAAAAAAGGTATCAAGTAGATTAAAATAAAAACGGAAAAGAGCTATTTCCCCTGTAGTAGGTGCTCTGGTCTCAGCTACAGCTATTCATGAATCAAGAAACTGGTTATAGCAGATTCTATGCAGTATAAATTGATTTAAATGAAAACAGAAGATGTCAGTAATATACTGGAATCAGAACACTGACAAGCATGAAATCTCAGGTTAATTATTCAATTTCAATTCTGTTTTGCACTGGACTTTTCCTGTCATGTATTTTCCTACAGAAAGGCTCACTTCAGTTACTTGGTCATTCATTATTCAGGTTTGACGCTTTGCAGTTAAATACAGTCTTTATAATTAGCCTGGTCCTCCTTGCTAAACACGACAGCATGCTATATAGAGAGTTTAGCAATTCATATCTTAACAGAAACTTGTTAACTTCCTTGGCTTTTCACTTCATCATGTAGAAAACAGTGAGCGTCACTGCTTCCTAGTAGATGATCATTTGGCCCTTGTTTTTACTGAAGACAGATTAAATGCATTACATGAACATTATCCTCTCCCTGTCAAATGGTCTTAGGAGCTTCTGTTTGCTTTGAGTAATCCTCCTGAGAAGCCTTTGTACTGTAATATTTATATTAAACCATACACTGTACCTTGTTAAGTATTAAGTAGCAAGTCAGAATGCTATTTTAGGTGTATGTGAAAGGTAGTAATCAATGACAAAAGCATAATGGATAACTCCACTTTACTGAACTTTAAGTCAGGAATTAGCATCCTATTTCATGCGGAGAGGAATGACTATTTTCCTAACAGTAGTGAAAAGCTGCTTAGGTAGGAGAAAATCACAAGGTTCCTTGAAAATAAATGGATACTTTTCTGTTTTCCAACATCCAATTAATTGATATTCTTATATTTTTATTACCATCTTGAATATTAATAATCTATACTGAATTTTAGTTATCTTGTATGTTCCCTGTGTACAGAAGTCAACTACAAAATTTTCTGTTGAGATTGTCACCAGTTAAAAATCATTAAAGACACCAGTAATACGTATATTTGACAATTAAGCCTGTGATGTGTGCATAGGGTGCTGGCAATGGGGAAATGAAGGAGAATTTACTTGACAGTTCTTGTCCAACGTTACGTAGGAAGGGCTCACGCAACAGGATTTTCATTTGAGGAAGAATAAAAAAGTACTACAAATTTCCCAAATGCTCACTCTTAATTTTTATAACATACATTTTCAAAAGTTACTGTGATAAAACAGTTACAATAATCTTAAATTCATGGGACTGTTGTCACTAAAAACAAAGACTTGATACGAAATGGAAGCTGAAGTATGCAGATGTTAAGTCAATGGAAGGGGGGAATTTGGTGTTTAATACTTAGAAGGTATGACAAGAATCTTTCACTTAAAAACAACCAATTACAACATTACAATGAACACTTCATTATAATTCCATTTCAAGGAATATTTGTACTCATGTGGAAGCTCTATAGTGCCAGAAGTCAGCAGCCCAAGTTTATTGCAGATAACTTTGTATACCAGGCATGACACTCTAATGCTGTCATCTGTGTATAAAAGAAAAAGAAAATGATGGAAGGAAAGAAAGAAAAGAGGAAAATAAAACGGAGAACAGGAGAAAAAAGAAAAAGGAAAATAGAAAAAAGAAGAAAGAGGTAAAAAGAGGTGGAAAAGAGAAAAAAAAAGACAAGGTGAGTAGGAGAGTGAAGAACAGCAGTCTGAGGAGAGGCAGTCTGAACGCACACACAGGAGGTGCATTGCTACATGTTCCTTTCAGATGCCATATTCCATTAATTAATTTCTATCTATGCAGAAGGGGGTTTTAATACAGAACATTCCCCCCTCATTCTTTTTTAATAAAAAAGCGCTAACCACACACTTTGAGATGTATTTTACAGACGGTACATACCTGCTAGATCATTTTTATCTTACTGCGATAAAGTATCTTACACGTTAGTAAGACGAAAACAGTGATCCGATACAGTTTTGAGGATCTGACTGCAAGACAGTGTAATCCTCTATTTCATTGACCAGAAGGCAGAATAAGCAGTGCGTTATTGCTGTGGAATTGTTTCTCCAGCAATTCTTTCTTTTCTCTTTCTACAGCCAGTACAAAAATTGAGAAAACTTACAATGTCTAATTAGCCATAAAGACATTACAAGTTACACCTGCTGAAGTCTGTCGTATAGTAGCAGTGGCAGTCATTCCTTTTGGAGTGTTTTCTAGTAAATTCGCAACTTTGCAGAAGTAACTGTTTAACCTATATATGAAATATTCATGGGCAATCTAATAAGAAGGATTTTTGCTCTGAGTTAGTGTGAGTTAAATAAATACAGACAGAATACAAAAATACTGTATTGTAAAATTATAAAGCTTTTCATAAATGATAGTGAAAGTTCTTCAAATAAATTATATATAAGAACCCTACAGCCCCTATATAAATAATAAAAAACCCATCAGCAGCTGAGTTACCATCCAAATCTTGAAAAGCCATGTAAGGAGACAAAATTAAAGTAAACCAAGATACTCAGTATATCCATGACTACAGCCAGACCACTTACTAACACACTCCTTCTACATGCAAAGAAGAATAAGTTATATTCAGATCACTAAATATTTTATACGTATCTATATTTTTATATATATATATAGTATGTCTCCTTCCACTAACTACATATCAACCTAACATTCCCCCTTTTTTTTTGTATTCACAACCCTCTAACACATGTTAAAATTATTCTTCTTGGCAATCAGTATTACCCAGATGTTCGACCCCAGCAAGAAAATTCTTTAAGAAAAACCCCTGAAGCTTCTGTGTACAAAGGCACCCACTTGTTAATAAGAAAGGCTCTCCAGGGAGAAGCACCTTTTCAGCCAGCAGCCTTCATGTCCACTAGTTGGCTAGCAATACTTGTGCCAGCTGATCAGTTCTGAATCTCGATTATTCATCTTTCTTGCGCATTACTATGCTAACTTTAACCAATATTGCTTCTGACAAAAACGTTGCACTGAATCATGCTTTGGCACTAAAAGGCAATGAGTGTGAATTCAGCAGCTGATAGCAGCAGGTTAAAAAAAGGTGTTTTAAGATGATTTAAAGTTGAAGTAATGATACATTTGTGTGTGGTAGGAAAATTCCCAAATGAAACTTCAGTTGCTTACCTTGTCATTTAAGGTCGGGTCATTCAATGAATAGAGTTTATTTGTAATATCTTTGCCAATAAGATACTTAAAGATCTCATAAAGAAATGGCTCAGATTCTAGAAAATATGTCAGCCTTTCTCTGGACCAGCACAGGAACTTGCAGTTATCATCTGCGATAATGGTGACCTGAGAAAATACATGCTCAAAATTAGCACTTTTCTTTCGCTTTAAAGTAAGTGATACCATTTTACTTGTGCCTCCAGTTAAAATAACTCTTAAAGCCATAAAACTTTTGGGTATCCCTTCAAATGTGATAATTCCAAATGTAAATAATCTCAGATATTTATTATCATCATATTTTTAACTGATAGGCATGGCCAGTTTGTTTTTCAGAAAACCTGCGGGGAGATAATTGGGGAAATCTCTCATAAGTGCCCGAACTGTACAAGAACTTATCTTAGAGGAGATTCACATATAAAGTCAGTCCTACAGTGATAACACTACTTGCATTCCAATAGGCCTACATGTTGCTTGACTTTATTTTATGTCGCTGTCACCAAACGGGAACAACTGGCATAATCCAAAGGTCTCCATCAAAGAGTTTTCACTGATTTAAAAAAAAAAAAAAAGAAAAAAAAAGAAGTATTTTCAACTTTCTCTTTTCATGGTCAGCCTGCTGATCCCACAAGTACCACCTTCCAGCAGCTGAGCTAAGGGTCCGTTTACTCAGTTACTGATAATTCAGCTATCGGTAGTTACAGAGGAGCTTGCACCCTCTCCAGGGAGGCTGGACCTGTCAGGTTCGTCCCCCTGTGCCAGCAGAGGGCAATGGCACACCGAAACCTGCACCGCTCTGTGATACCCAGCGGCGTATTTGCAAGGGAAAGTCAGTCATCTACGAAGAAATCGGGTGCTCTCTGCTGTCACAAGCTAACGTTACCTCCTGAAAAATTAAAAATATATAAAGCCTAAAGATTAATAGGAAACTGTCACGTATCCGTGGATTTTAACTTCACAGACTGTAATATAAGCACACAGGCTGAGGAAGAATTTGCCAGCGTTGCCAGCAGATGGGGTCCTGAAGATTGCATCCCTGTCCTCTTGCAACGGCAAGGCTGAGTGTTCATGCGGCAGTAACAAGCAGAACTCAGGAGTGAAGGATGTACACCCCACCACATTACACGAGTTTTTAAGGCAGGCAGAAGTTGAGGCATAAGCCTTTTCCCTTCAGAAGGACCGATCTGTACCCAGTCGCTTACAAGAGAAACAGGCTGGGCCGAGAGGGCGGCCGTGCTGCAGGACGCCTCACTGCTGCGAAACGAATGCATCTGGACAATCCTCTCTCCTTGGCGTTAAGCCTAGTATTTCACTGGAACATATGACATCAGTCACTGATTTTAGAGTCTACATTGCTCTCCCTCCCTCCCCTTCTGCCAGGTTATCAGCGTGGAGGTACCCAGACAGCCTCAGTCCAGTCATTACTACACATACCCAGTCAAAGAACATTAAGTAAGAGGCAGCAAAATAGCCATTTCAGTACTATGGGGGAAAAAAACCAACTTCTTTAACAGTATTTTTTCCCCAAAAGCTATAGTATAATATATCCTTTAACATACTAGCATAATTACATTGCTAGAGACATATACACTTATTGTTCCCCACATGAATATTTTTATTTAAAACACTGTGATTTCTTTCAGCTTATGTTGCTTTACCAACTTTCAAAGTGACAGAAGCATTAATACATTTAGATAAATACCTATTTTAAAGTACTAGTGCCTGAATTTTCAGCCTTTCATTTTACTAACACCAAATATTACAATAATTATTTTTCCTTTTCTGTTTTTGAACCAGTGATGACACTCCTCACCTCTTTTTCCAGTAAAGCTACTGTATTAAATTTGTCCTGAATAATGTCTTAACAGAAAATAAACTTGGAAACAGTAAAAGAGAACAGAACAGCAAAAGCCAGATCACTCAGCAAACACCATCATAACACTGTTTTGCAGCATTTGACTCTAAAAGTTATTTTTGATACAGTCCATCATGAAACACCAGTACTAGAAAGCTAGCAAAATTGTGGAAGTCAAATAGTTCACTGTTATTCAAATTTATGCTCTTAGTGATCCCATCAGCTCACATCCAGCGACATTTGAACCAAAGTGTACCTGGAATTTCTCACCCCGGTTCATCTGTGTTGATCGAAATTCAGGAGAATCTATAAAGGCACAGGGGTAAATATTGTGCAGAAAATGTCCTCGGTAAGACACCTTCATTCTGGAAATAAAAATGTATGAAACAACATTTTAAAGTCGTGGAGGTTGATTAATTTAATCTAAATTAGGACATGATTATTGACAATTGTAAAGCAGTAGGTAACAGGCAAAAATATGTTCATCTTCCGGAATTTCAGCCCCAGAGCTACCATTTTTCTGCCTAAACCTCCACTGATTCCAAGCAGAACAGGCTGCCAGCCAATTCGAGTTGCCAAACGTGGTGCTTATCCTCAAAACATTGTATTCGAAATGAAAAAGGTCTGCAGGGTTATGCTATACAGCCAGACCAGAATCAGGCTTCCTTTAGATAACTAGCTTTGCAGTAATGAGCAACTAATGACTTCAAAGGAAAATGAAGTCTGACATCACCATTGCCATCAACAGAAACTGGTTAAAACATAGGCCAAAACTTAGCAAAAGCTTCAAGATTACAGCCTGGCCATGGGCATTTATTTTACCCTTTCTCACCCGGGTCCTGTCAGCCTCCGGGCAGTGCACCTGCCCCTCTTTGCTTACACATACATGTGCAATGAATGAGTTCCAATATGCCTGTTGTTTTAAAGTCTACTGGAGCGATATTTTTTTCCTTTCCTCATGCACAGTATTTTTTAACCTTGAAACCTGAGAATGCACTAAGAAGATGACTTAGATAACTAAGACTCAAAACAAATCTCTTTGTTGTTCTGGAAGAAGCTGCCTTTGGTATTATACAAACATAATTCCTACTAAAATCTATACAGTTGCACGTACAAATGGAGATATAATCTGCTCCCAGTAAGAGACATCACTGTCACTTGAAAACAATGTCACAAAACAGTATACCTATAGACTATTTGGTTATAGATGATAACGCGCTCCAAATAACATTTTAAAAGCTAACAAAACCCCCACAACTTCCTAATCTATTCAGCCATCACACAAAGCCTAAGACTGTCCCCAAGCTTTACAGAACCTACTTCC